CACCTTTGTTTCGCAGATCTGCTTTCTTGAATTTAATTGAACACAAAGCAGACAGATGCTCCCTAAAATTTATTTTTGTTTCTTTTGGTGAATTTCCTTTTCAAAAATGTGTCTTTGTCTGCATTTTGAGTGGTCTGTTCTCTGAATCTGTATTGCCGAATCTTTTCACAGATTTTTTTTTTTTCCTGTTTAGTTGTCCTTGACTAAAGAGAGGTGAATGTTGTCTGGGTGTTGTCCAAGACTCCCTTCACTGCCTGCCAGGGTGTTGGTAGAATCTTCTGCTCATCTCAGAAGCTAGAAGGATGGGAGTAGACTTGAATTTTTGGTACCACTTACACATCCAAAGGTACTTTATTCTGTGTCATTTCTTCTCTGGGATAGTTGAAGCCACTGGCGAAGTGCTTCTAGCTTCCTGTCGGGTCAGAGCTGCACACTGGATACATACATGTGGCTGAGCCCAAGGTGTGGCTCTACTGGTGACCACATCAGGGGAACCCCCCGCAGCTGATTTCTGCTCACTGTGGCACAAAGTGGGGGACTCTCTGGGGCAGACGATTTCAGGGCTGCTGATCTGAAATGTTGAGGGGTTCACAGAGACGCTTTCCCTAGGGTTCTGGCAGCCGGATCACAAAAGATATGAGGCTCTTCATGACTTGATGATGTCCCCAATGTTGTGTTTTCCCAGGAGTGGGGGTTGTTAATGTTCATGATCATTTTATTTATTTTATTTTTAATATATTTTTATTGATTTCAGAGAGGAAGGAGAGGGAGAGAGAGAGAGAAACATCAGTGATGAGAGAGAATCATGGATTGGCTGCCTCCTGCACACCCCCTACTGAGGATCAAGCCTGCAACCCAGGCATGTGCCCCTGATCAGACACAATCCGGGACTCTTCAGTCCGTAGGCCAACACTCTATCCACTGAGCCAAACTGGCTAAGGCTCATGATCATTTTAACTGTACAGTGTTTGACTGTGATTTGTTTTTACATAGCATCCTTTGTCCTATCAAATAGAGCAGTGGTTCTCAACCTTCTGGCCCTTTAAATTCAGTTCCTCATGTTGTGACCTAACCATAAAATTATTTTCATTGCTACTTCATAACTGTAATGTTGCTACTGTTATGAATCGTAATGTAAATATCTGATATGCAGGATGGTCTTAGGTGACCCCTGTGAAAGGGCCGTTCTACTGCCAAAGGGGTCGTGACCCACAGGTTGAGAACCGCTGAAATAGAGTAAAGGGTCAGGATTTGAAGCGGCTCCTTCAGAAATGAATGACACTTGTGCCTGACCCCCTCATCCATGTGTGTGTGTGTGTGTGTGTGTACCTGAGTACTCCTGGGCATGTCTAGGTGCCCAACATGTGGCAGGTGTGTTAGCCTGGGGTCATGCCCTGGCCATGGGAATCGACTCTGGTTCCACGGGGCTTCCCTTTGGCTATCCCCTCTACTCAGGTGGTAGCAATCTAAGTTCAAAGCACTTTTATGAAATACAAGTGAAGTGAGAATTTGACGGAGGATTCTTTGGTTCCTGCTGTCTCAAATATGTGGTGTTTACAGACAGTAAATATTTTTAATGGTTTCAACTCATAATAAAAAGAGTGACATAGCATATATAGAAGGAATAGGAACTTGTCTTAGGAAAAGAAGTGTCAGTCATTTTCATGCGAACTTGTCCTTGTATAATTAGCATTATATGCCATGTGCCACTTCTTTTTAATCTTTTAAACTGTCTATTTTTAAAAAAATATATTTTATTGGTTTTTTACAGAGAGGAAGGGAGAGGGATAGAGAGTTATAAACATCGATGAGAGAGAAACATTGATCAGCTGCCTCCTGCACACTCCCTACTGGTGATGTGCCCACAACCAAGGTACATGCCCTTGACCGGAATCAAGCCCGGACCCTTCAGTCCGCAGGCCGACACTCCATCCACTGAGCATAACTAGCCAGGGCTAAACTGTCTATTTTGTAAAGGGTGGTTAGGTTAAATCTATGTTGTGAGTCCACAATCCATTTACTTGGAGAGCCATGAATCTATCCCCTTTGAAAGAGGATAGACCTCTGGCATAGAGAATGCCTTAACGTCTTTGTTTTCTGTAAAGCATTTTAATGATGAAAGCTTGAGTTTTGTCCACACCTGAGAATACACTTGATGGGTTCACATAGACATGGCAATTCTATGAAACATAGATATAGATATCCTGAATTATACCATACTATTTTCAAAACTTGCTATTGTTGTTAAATTGCTTTCTGATATTTGGCAGGATAGGAGTCTGTGGCCAGCTTGAATTTTCATTACTTTTAAATAATGTATTTTATTTTCTCGAAGATTTTCAAGTTTTTTCTTTATTCTTTGAATTAAAAATTAGAACAGCATACGTTAGATGTTTTCATTTATCTTTTTCCTGGTTGTATTTGATCTCTTTTCATCTGTTTATCAAGGTGTTTCTTCAGTCTAGGAAAACTTTCTTGATTAAAGCTGCTTATATTTGCTATTATGGAAGCCCTATTGCCAGCAGATAGGACCATCTGGTTCTTACTCCTATTAGCCTTCCATTTTCATTTTTTAATGCTTTGTCCTTTGCTCTTAGGTTTTGAGAATTGAGATGGGTCCTATTGGGTCCTATTAGTGATTCTTGGACATTCCTGGCAGGAACCTGAAGCCCCAAATGGAGGGAGAAATAGAAAAGTTTAAATTTACCCTCATTTTATTTTGCCCGTTGCCAGTCCAAACAACCTGGAGGGCAGTGGGGCTCTTGGAGGTGAGAGTGAAAATGAGAGGCAGACGTAGCCAGGAATGCTATTGCTGAAGAGCTTCCATTCCTTTTTTGGAGCAGCTCTCAGGGCTGGCCGCTGCAGTCTGCCATCCTTTGGCAGGCGGGCTGTCTACAGTGTGTGAGTGACTCCAAGCCCTTCCGTGCCAACAACCTGTCCTACGCTGCCTCTGAAACCCAGAGCACTTCCTAATGCTGCTAATGGAGCCACCGCCAACCTCACCTCCCAGGGGGCAGAGGCCTCTGTGGATGTGCTTTGCATCTTTCCCTTTGCATGTTAGAGATTCACAGTCAGATGGTGATGCAAGTGAACTTTCTCTGTGTTTTACATCATTGACATTCCCTGGAATTTCTTTTGTGTGGATGACCCCTTGCTTACATTTTGAGGTTGATCCAGACTTTTTCCTTCTTTTTTTATTGCTGATCATTTTCATGTGGACCTACAGGGGAGTAGTTTACATATCGCCAAGAAGTCTAAGTCTTCTTTCTTGTGAATACAAGTCAGAGGATTGTGAAGCCAGGAAGGTGGCTCAGACTTGGGAAATGGAGACTTGATGGTAATCTTAAGTGTCCTGCTACAGTACTTCTCATCTAGTTGCCTATGATGATCGAGGTCACCAAATAATGGCAATGATGGTAATGATAACAATTGTCTTTTATGAAAAACAACCAGTAAATGTGATGTTGGTCAAAGAGCACACAGTTCTAGTTATGAGACGAATAAGTTCTGAGGATCTAATGTACAGCATGATGACTAGCTAGCAAGTATTAGTTTTGAGTATTATATATGTGAAAGTTGCTAAGACAGTAAATCTTAAATATTCTCATCACAAAAAAATTGTAACTGTGTGAGGTGATGGATGTGTAAACTAACTATATTGTGGTAATCATTTTCCAATCTATACATGTATTAAATCATCATGTTGTACACCTTAAACTTACACAATGTGATATGTAAATTACATTTCAATAAAGATGGGGAAAAACCGACAGTGGGTCACATGGTTGATGTGACTATATTAATATCAATTTGATTTAACATTTATAGCAATCTAGGAGATTTGTTGGTTGGATCTCCATTTTATAGCTGACTCTCATAGAAATTAAATAACTTGCCTGCCCTGGCTGGATGGCTCAGTTGGTTAGAGAGTGGTCCCATAGACCAAAGGTTGCGGGTTTGATTCCCAGTCAGGGCACATACCTACGTTGTGGGTTTGATCCCCAGTTGGGGTATTTACGGGAGGCAAGTAATACCTCTCTCTCTCTTTCTCTTTCTCTCTCTGTCAAATCAATCAAGACATATCCTTGGATGAGGATTAAAAAATATAATAATAACTTGTCTGGAATTGCATAGCCAGTATGTTGTAAAGTGTCCTCAAAGTTTCTGTTCTTTTATTTTTTATTTATTTATTTTGCTGTTTGTCTGTCTGAAGTGTTGTCCTATTTCCTAATCTCTGTGGTATTTAGTATTCCTAGTTACTGGACTTTGATCATCTGTTGGCATTTTATGACTCTACAAACTAAGTCCTTCTCTGAGGAGAGCATGCTTTATCATTTCTCTTATACCCTCTGGAAGTCTTGACTAGCAGGGGGGAAGGTCTTGTCCTCAGTTCCTAGGTTGATCACCCATCCTCCTTTTTGTTTTTTAACTAGGGTATTTATCCACTCCTAGAGGCATCCTTCCTGTCCAGTGCGCTATTTTGCCTTCATGGCTACCTTTGTAGCCCTCTAAGATTATTCTGGTGATTTAGATCTGCTTGGCTGTCTTGGAAGACTCGTGGGCCAAGAGGCTGCTCTTCTCGACGGTCCCTGTGATCAAAGTACTGTCATCATAGCAGAATCTCAACCTGATGATGATGTTGCTGGTCATGCTTTACTGCATCCGATTAGGGCAACAAAAATTAAAATCAGAGAAGCTGCAAAACCATTGATAATGTAGGGAACTCTTAAACATAAAAGGTGGCGTTGGGAAAGTGTTGGGGGTGGTCAGCGCCTGGTAGATGAGAACATTTTATTTTTATTCTTGCTTCATAAAAATGTTGTGCATTTATTTTATAACTTGCTCCTTGAGATATACTGGCCAGCTCCATTATTAGATTAATATTTGGAATATATTGGAATAAATAAAAATATTGAATGACTCTAAAATGTGTCACTGTAATTGTAGGATCATTCTTTGTTTCTGTTATTCTAATTGAATTATGTCTTTTCCTCCCTTAGATTACGGTCTTTGGTCAAACAGTTAGAGAGAGGGGAGGCTTCAGTGGTAGATCTTAAGAAGAATTTGGAATATGCAGCTACAGTGCTTGAGTCTGTATACATCGATGAAACCAGGTAAGCTAAAAATGACAAGAAGTTAGTGCACTGATGGTGACTTTTCCATTAAATGGCCCTTCTGAATTGTCCCCCATGGCATGTACAGGGTAGCATTCAAATGACCGGTCTTGGAGCTTTAGTTTCCACAAGCAAATGGGGTAGATTTGAGCTCACATTTTCTCTGTACCTCCTCATCGATCAAAAGGAGCGTTTGATAGAACTTATCTCATCCAGCCATTATGACACTGGAGTGAGACCATGTAATAGGGGAAAAGGTCATTGTAAAAATCGGGTAAGATTTTCTATCAAATGTAGGCTTCTACTACGATCATTGCATATTGTTAGGTTCAGTCTAAATGTTATGGTCCTACTCTAGCTCACAGTATCTGTCTGTACGTGGAGGATCCGGGGGTGATGGAGAAGCATTTGTTCTCTTAAGCACCCCATGTTTCTCTTTCAATAAGTATGACATTGATTTTTCTTAGCTGACTCTGCACTTGAATTATCCAAAAGTATTAAATTGCTTCCAATTACTAAATGCATTTGAAAACAATAAAATTGCTTTTCTTTTGGAAAAGAAAAGTTGAAATGATGAATATGAAATCTTCTTTTAAAAATTCAGATAGGCTCCTTTGTCAGTATTTGTGCATCCTTACATTTCTATGCCAAATTCCAATCTGAGATGATTCTTAGATGATTTCCCAGTCATCTAAGAATTTGTGGCTTAGTTTTTGTAACATGGTTGGTTCCTAATATAAGGACATTTGATATCATAGTCCCCCCCCCAAAAAAAATGATACACACTTTATTCCCTTTCCCCAAATGATGTGTTTAAAGAAAAAAAAAAATCTTTTTATTAACACCAGTTTTTACTCCTTTTTAGTAGGGCTTAATCCTATCTAATAAAAGAGAAACATGGCAATTGGTGTACGACTGCTACCCTTCCCATTGGCTAATCAGGGCAATATGCAAATTAACTGCCAGCCAAAATGGTGGCTGGCAGCCAGGCAGCTTGAAACTAACATGAGGCTTGCTTGCTTCAGTGATGGAGGACTCCAACATTCCCCATCTGCCGCTGCAGGCCTCTGAGCTGCAACTCTAAGCAACTATGTAACAAATATAGAAGCTAAACAAAACCCCAGAAAACCGCTTTAGTCCACCGGGCTTCAGCCAGCAGGATCGCAACATTGTAAGCAAAGGCCAGAAACCTACTTTCAGCAGCGGAGGCCTAAGAGCTGGAGCCAAGCCTCAAAGCTAAAGCTGGCCCAGAATAAAAAAAGAAAAAAGAAAAAAAGGAGCGGTTGGGAGCTTCAGTCAGCCCCAGCCTGAAAACAGCCTTCAGCCCCTCACCCAGACTGGCCAGGCACCCCAGTGGGGACCCCCACCCTGAAGGGTGTGTGACCAGCTGCAAACAGCCATCATCCCCTCATCCAGGCTGGCCAGGCATCCCAGTGGGGACCCCCACCTTGATCCAGGACACCCTTCAGGGCAAACCAGCCAGCCCCACCCATGCACCAGGCCTCTATCCTGTATAGTAAAAGGGTAATATGCCTTCCAGCACCGGGATCAGCGGAGCCGAGAGGCCTCCCGGCACGGGGATCAGTGTGAAAGGGGTCAGCGCCCAAACCCCCTGATCGCCCTGCTGCTCTGTGTGTGACAGGGGGCGGGGCCACAACCTCCCTATCCACCCTACTCTGTTCGTGACAGGGGAAGGTGCCCCAACCCCCTGATCAGCCCTGCTCTGTGCCTGATAGGGGGGAGCTCCCCAACCCCCTGATCGCCCTGCGGCTCTGTGTGTGACAGGGTGCGGCGCCCCAACCCCCTGATTGGCCCTGCTCTGTGTGTGACAGGGTGCGGCGCCCCAAGCTCCGCCCCCCTCACGGGCCCTGCTCTGTGTGTGACGGGGTAGAGCCATAACCTCCCCATCGGCCCTGCCCTGAGTGTGAGAGTGGCAGCGCCCCAACCCCCTGATGGGCCCTGCTCTGTGTGTGACAGGGGGCAGTGCCCCAACCCCCTGATTGGCCCTGCTCTGTGCGTGACAGGGGGTGGCGCCGCACCCTCCCCATCGACCCTGCCTTGAGTGTGACGGGACGGTGCCCCAACCCCCCAATCGGCCCTACCCTGAGCGTGACTGAGGGTGGCATCACAACCTCCCAATCACCCTGCTCTGTGCATGACAGGGGGCGGCGCCCCAACTCTCCAATCGGCCCTGATCTGAGCCAGACCAGGGGCTGCACCTAGGGATTGGGCCTGCCCTCTGCCACCCAGGAGCAGGCCTAAGCCAGCAGGTCATTATCTCCCGAGGGGTCCCAGACTGCGAGAGGGCACAGGCCAGGCTGAGGGACCCCCTCTCCCCCCCGAGTGCACAAATTTTTGTGCACCGGGCCTCTAGTATAAGTATAAAATACAATTCTAAATTTGATGTAACTTAGTATATTTATATTTTGTTCTAGTGGTCTGACCTATGAACAAGTTTAAAATATCAGCTAAGTCTATCTGACAGATGATTTAAATGTCTGTGCTCAAATACAGAACTGTTTATTTGGGGAATTTTGCTTGAATTTAAACATCTAAGTTTCTGTGGTGGTCTATCAAACCAGAGAATATCAGTTGACATTGTTAGGGTTTGAGTAATACTTTATAGTCTATTAGTTTTTCTTTTTTAAAATTTTACTTTTATTGATATATAATTGGCACAGAACATTGTGTAAGTTTAAAGTGTACAATGTGTTGATTTGATACATTTATGTATCACAGTATGATTAACCCACAGCATTAGCTAAGACCTCTATCACGTCACATAATTATCATTATATTTTTGTGATGGGAACAATTAAGATCTAGTCTCATAGCAACTGGAAAGTTTATGATAGATTATTGTTGTCTATGGCAAAATCTTTAAATGTCAATTTAAAAAACCCAACAATACCACAAGGCCCATCTATGAAATAAACCTCCCTGTGCATTGTTAAATGGAAGGTTTAGGCCGAAACCGGTTTGGCTCAGTGGATAGAGCGTCGGCCTGCGGACTGAAAGGTCCCAGGTTCGATTCCGGTCAAGGGCATGTACCTTGGTTGCGGGCACATCCCCAGTGGGGAGTGTGCAGGAGGCAGCTGGTCGATGTTTCTCTCTCATCGATGTTTCTAACTCTCTATCTCTCTCCTTTCCTCTCTGTAAAAACTCAATAAAATATTAAAAAAAAAAAAAAATGGAAGGTTTAGATTCCATTGAAATTCCACAAACCTAGGAATCAGGATACTGGGTGCTCTGAGTGCAGTGGGTCTGAGACCCACAGAGCCTGAGATGGACTCTGTGTGACTTTCTCTGACTCAGTTTCCTTGTCCAGGCCGGTAGAGAGAGCCATCCTGAAACATAACTTGTAGAAAAGACATTTCTGAAAGGCAAATGGTGAGCTCTCACAAACCTTACCTAAAAAGTGCTGTATTTTTTTGTGGCTGATTTCATTTGGTTTCTTTGCACCTGCGTCTGCAGATGGGGGCAAGGAGCAGCTGTTCAGAACAGAGAGCTCTTCCTTCAGGTTTTGTCTGTGTCCGGTTGTGTTTCTTGTGTTCAGGCGACTCCTGGATACGGAGGATGAGCTCAGTGACATCCAGTCAGATGCGGTGCCTTCCGAGGTCCGAGACTGGCTGGCCTCCACCTTCACGCGGCAGATGGGGATGATGCTCAGGCGGAGCGATGAGAAGCCGCGGTTCAAGAGCATCGTGCATGCAGTGCAGGCTGGGATCTTCGTGGAGAGGTAAAGACAACTGTCATTCATCCGATAACCAAAGCAGCATGAGGAGCACCTGTTCCCCAGAAATGGAAGATTTGCTTTGATGTACTTTTGGTGTCTTTATAAATACTGAAAATCCTGGGTGCAAACAGATAGCCTTGAATGAGAGACTTTCCTCTCCGTAGCACCATTAGGACAAGCTTTTGCCTCTGGCTCAGATTATTTTTGTCAACCGAGTTGAGTCCAGTCTCCCACTTTTAAAGAAGGACATCCTTTGACACATGTGGAGGATGTCTGCATTTGGGACAGGTCAGGGACAGCTTGTTGACTCAGGAGGGCAGTTCACTGAAAGGGCTCCATCCAGTTCCCCTTGGAACTTTCCAATTCTGTTAGCCATTTTGTTCTTTGAAATTACATTGCTTCCCTTCCCCGGACATAGATTCCAGAAATCGATCTATTCTTCCTGTAATCCTTATTATAAAAATGGGTTTATTCTTCCTGTAATCCTTATTGTACAATTAAAGGTTTTAGAATTTCACAGTTCACCCTGGACGTTTTCCTGCTTGTTTTTAGCAGTTCTAATGAACAGCTCTTCTAAATGGGTTACCCATAGGAGCTCGTTGTCCAGGTTAAAGTTCTACATTGCATACTCTCTATGTTGTACTAGAATTCTCTTCTGGCAGAATTTTAATCATATAATTTCCAACTTGAGCCACACAGGTTCATTCTTTTTTGTTTCCAACAGTTCATATGTTTGGGATTATGTTAATTTCTTTTGAATTTTACACTTAGGCCACTTGAGTGACTATGAAAAAGATTACAAAATAAATGTTAGGTGCCTTGGGTCGCCAGATGACATGACTTCTCATTATTTGTCAATACTTGTAAGATGTAATATTGCATTTTCTCCTTCTCTGACTTTGCCAGAATGTATAGACGTACATCAAACATGGTTGGACTGAGCTACCCAGCAGTGGTTATAGAAGCATTAAAGGTAATACCAATGAAAAAGTATTACAATGTACATGGTACTCTATAAAAATACAATTATACTTGTCATTATGAAATAAGAAGCTTTCATTTATAGTTCATTTAGATTTCCCTGTCATTCCTGATTTTTAAAACTTTCATTATCTTTTACTTATCTGTTTAAATGGTATCACTATCTTTTCAGCCTTCATCTTGCTAAATTTTTTTTATTAAATCAAACTCTGTGGGTTTCATATTTCTCTACTTCCTTGGAGTCACTTCATTATGGGCTCATTCTGACTTTGGCCAAAAAAGATCAAATTTGATCTGGTTATAAATATTGATCATCAGGAGGATCTTTGGTGATCATTATTATACCATTACATGATTTCCTACCCTAAGTCCATTTTATAGATGAATAAACTGAGACTCAGTGAGATTTTTTTTAAAAAAGACAGTTAATTAGGGGCAGGACTAAGGTTTGATACCAGAGTTCTAGGTATACAATAAGCCATCAATAATGGCATGGACGTATGCCCCACATCCCTGACCCTCTCCATATGCTCTACTGTTTTCCCTAGACTCTCACTGAGCCCCAAAGTCCCATTTGAAGTCATGCAGATGTTTGAGTTTAAATGGTCTAAAACCGGTAGAATTACTCCCAAGGAGACAAGCTCTTGAAATTGCGCAGAATTTTTCTAAGAGTCCCAGAGCAGATGTATTCCTCTAGGTGTGCGCTGATTCACATCCACTGGTCTGAGGGTATCCCAGCTGAGTTGAAGTTGATTTAGCTTGTGGATTTGAGGATGGGCTGTGCTAAGGCCCAGGATCCCTGGGCTGGTTGACACTGCATGGTGTCTAGACATGGCATTGCAGCCACTTGCTCAGGGATGTCCCAGCATTCTGACTATGGTTAAAGCTGTTCTTGTCTTTCTCTGAAACCTGATGCTATTTTCAGAATATAACTTAAATTACCCATTTATGGAATTGGGAGTGCTTCTTGATCAACATAACATCAAGAAAAAGTCTTTTAGGGCCATTTTGATGATATATTTCATAGTTCTTTTCTCTTGCCTCTGTTCTCCATTTTCTGTAACTTTTTCTTTTAAATTTCATTGAATTTATTGAGGTGACATTGGTTCATAAAATTATGTAGGTTCCAAGTGTACAGTTTATACTACGTTATCTGTATATTCCTTGTGTGTTCACCACTCAAAGTCTAGTCTTCTTCCATCACCATATATTTAACCCTCTTTACCAGGGGTCCTCAAACTTTTTAAACAGGGCGCCAGTTCACTGTCCCTCAGACCGTTGGAGGACCAGGCTATAGTTTAAAAAAAAACAACTATGCACAAATTCCTATGCACACTGCACATATCTTATTTTGAAGTAAAAAAACAAAACGGGAACAAATACAATATTTGTATTTGCATGTGGCCCGCGGGCCGTAGTTTGAGGACCCCTGCTCTTTACCCTTTTTTCTCTTCCCCACTCCCTTTTCCCTCTGGTAATCACCATACTGTAGTCTTTGTCTTTGAGTTTTTGTTTGTTTATTTGTCTTGTTTGTTTCTTGCTTTCAGTTTTATATCCCACATGAGTAAAATCATATGGTTCTTGATTTTTTTCCAACTGACTTATTTCACTTAGCATGATATTCTTATTATCCAACCATGTTGTTGAAAATGGCAGTATTTCATCTGTTCTTGTGGCTGAGTAGATACCCAGAAGAGGGATTGTTGGGGCATGTGGTAACTATTCTTATTTTTAAGGAACCTTCGTACCATAATGGCTGTACCAATTTACATTCCCACCAGCAGTGTATGAGGGTTCCTTTTTCTCTACAATCTCTCCAACACTTGTTGTAAGTCATATTGTTGATAATAGCCATTCTAACAGGTGAATTGCCTCTTGGCTTTTTGGCTAAGATCAAGTGTAGTATCCTTAACAATTCAATATCTCTTCTCAGCTCATTGTAAGAATAGGAAGGATACTCAAGAACGATACAGCAAGGAGACACGTTTTCTCTCAGTCCTCTTCAACTCCCACTTTAATGCCTAATATATCAGTGTGATTTACAGCGACATTTCCCATTTAATCAGTGAAATCAATTCACATAAGATTTGATGTTTCATAACATCCACTGGGAAGATGCATTGATTTTCATAATTGAACCTGAAACATTGAGTGAGTCTTAGGAACATTAAAAGCATCTTTTATTTTTAATTCCTTCCTTTATTGGGAACATAAATACAGGTGATTATACAGGCACTAAGAAATTTATGAAAATATGTCTTCCAAATTGGAGCATGTTGTCTATGTAGAATAACTGAAGGAAATGTGGAACAACCTGTGATGTGCACGATTGTTATTTTATGCTTAGGGAAAAGCGATTCTCAAATGCACATATGTCTTTCTGAGGGGAGGGTACCTAGATGATTCAGACAAGAAGTAAGTACTAACTCTCTGAATTGCTATCCTTCTCCACAAGTATTGCTGATACGTACACAAGGCTAAAACAGCTTTTTCTCTTGTTCTTATCTCCTGTTCACTGGGGAAGTTCAAGGCCTTTAAAAATGTAATATTTTTCTGCTTCCCCAGACTCTGTTTTATTTGCAGTGAATTAGAGGTGAGTTGTAGAGATCACACTGATAGATACTTTTTTTCCTGCTTTTTAAAATGTTGTGCCTGTTAGGAAAAGGTTATCTCACTTCACTGCCAGCAGTTAATATGGGATCATATTGTTTTCTTCTATTACAGAAATGTCCCCAAGGACTGAGAGAATACAAGTCCATAAAATAACCATCGGGCTTACTGTCATGTTAAGTTTTGTGATTAATGTAAGGATATGGCATAAAATAACATTTAAGTAATAGAAGAATTAACCACCACCCATCTCTAAATTTGAAATATGTGGCATTTCTGTTCTTCTTATATTTCCCATTCAATAGCTTCTAATGTGGGGTGTTTCCTCTCGGGCCCTCTGAGGTGGGGTTACTGGGAATGCAGACGTGTTCTGTTCTTTAGAAGGGCATCTGTTTGTGTGACTGCTGAAGGGACATCCTGGAGAGACTCCAGGTTTAAAGTGGGAGGAAATGAGGCAGCTCAGCCTTCCTTTTTTTTTTTTTTTTTTTTTATTATTAGTTAAGGTATTACAAATGTGTCCTCATCCCCCCCATTAACCCCCAACCTCCCCCCCACACACACTCATGCTCCCATCCCCCTGTTGTCCATGTCCATTGGTATGGCTTATATACATGTATACAAGTCCTTCGGTTGATCTCTTCCCCTTCCCCCCGCCCTCCCCTACTTTCCTTCTGGGGATTGATAGCCTGATTGCTGTTTCTCAGTCTTTGGGTCTGTCCCTTTTCATCAGTCTATGTTGTTCTCTATAATCCACAAATGAGTGAGATCATGTGGTATTTATCTTTCTCTGACTGGCTTATTTCACTTAGCATAATGCTCTCCAGTTCCATCCATGCTGTTGCAAAAGGCAAGAGTTCCTTTTTCTTTACCGCAGCATAGTATTCCATTGTGTATATGTACCACAGTTTTCTAATCCACTCATCTGCCGATGGGCACTTAGGCTGTTTCCAAATCTTAGCTATGGTGAATTGTGCTGCTATGAACATAGGGGTGCATATATCCTTTCTGATTGGCGTTTCTGGTTTCTTGGGATATATTCCTAGTAGTGGGATCACTGGGTCAAATGGGAGTTCCATTTTTAGTCTTCTGAGGTAGTTCCATACTGTTCTCCACAGTGGCTGCACCAGTCTGCATTCCCACCAGCAGTGCAGAAGGGTTCCTTTTTCTCCACATCCTCTCCAACACTTGTTGTTTGTTGATTTGTTGATGATAGCCATTCTGACAGGTGTGAGATGATAACGCATTGTCGTTTTGATTTGCATCTCTCATATAATTAGTGACTTTGAGCAGGTTTTCATATGTCTTTCGGCCTTCTGTATGTCCTCTTTCGAAAAGTGTCTATCTAGGTCCGTTGCCCATTTTTTTATTGGATTGTTTATCTTCCTTTTGTTAAGTTTCATGAGATCCCTGTAAATGTTGGAAATTAAACCCTTATCGGTGGTATCATTGGCAAATATGTTCTCCCATGTAGTGGGTCTTCTTGTTGTTTTGTTGATGGTTTCCTTTGCTGTGCAAAAGCTTTTTATTTTGATGTAGTCCCATTTGTTTATTTTCTCTTTAGTTTCCATTGCCCTAGGAGCATTATCAGAGAAGAAATTTCTTCGGCATATGTTTGCGATTTCGCTGCCTGTGGATTCCTCTAGTATTTTTATGGTTTCCCGTCTTACGTTTAAGTCTTTTATCCATTTTGAGTTTATTTTTGTGTATGGTGTGAGTTGGTGATCTAGTTTCATCCTTTTGCATGTATCTGTCCAATTTTCCCAACACCATTTATTGAAAAGACTGTCTTGACTCCATTGTATGTTCTTGCCTCCTTTGTCGAATATTAATTGGGCATAGTGGTTTGGGTTGATTTCTGGGGTCTCTATTCTATTCCATTGATCTATATGTCTGTTCTTGTGCCAGTACCAAGCTGTTTTAAGAACAGTGGCTTTGTAATACAGTTTGATATCTGGTATTGAGATCCCACCTACTTTGTTCTTTCTGAGGATTGTTGCAGCTATTCGGGGTCTTTTTTTATTCCAGATGAATTTTTGGAACGTTCGTTCTAGATCTGTGAAATATGCTGTTGGTAATTTAATGGGGATTGCATTGAATCTATAAATTGCTTTGGGTAGTATGGACATTTTGATGATGTTGATTCTACCAATCCATGAACACGGTATATTCTTCCATCTGTTTATGTCTTCCTCTATCTCTTTTTTCAGTGTCCTGTAGTTTTCAGCATATAAGTCTTTTACCTCCTTAGTTAAGTTTATTCCTAGGTATTTTAATTTTTTTGGTGCAATGGTAAATGGGATTGCTTCTGTAGTTTCACTTTCTGTAAGTTCACTATTGGTGTAAAGAAATGCCATGGATTTCTTAGCATTAATTTTGTATCCT